TAAGTCATTCACATTTATACCAGCAGGAAGAAGAGGGTGAAAACAGATGTGGTTTCATTTTCTATGAATATTTCCCATAAGTTGTACAAGACACTTCTATATTCTGATTCTGATAAATATATTCTTTATGTGTATAATGCATACCACTGGGTACTTTACATCTGACTCTGAAATCCACATTGTTAAGTTCTTTCCACAATACCAGTGGTTCTCAACACTGGCTGTACTTTAGAATCACCAGGCTAGCTCTGAAAAATAGTAATTCTTGAGACCATACCAGATCAATGAAATCATAGTTAAAAGTATTTTGTAAAAGTGTCTCAGATGATTCTATTGTGAAGCCTGGATTAAGTACTACTGAATTACAATTTCTAAATTGTTTCCCTTTTTGACTACTAAGCTATATGTCCTTCTGTCACATATTTTTCTGAGTAATTAATTGCTTACACTCTGCTTAGGTTTTTATAAGTCTGTGTAATTTTGAAATTGTTTTGAAGAAGTACAGAAAAATATCTCATTTCATATTTGCTTCAAATTAAGAAAAAAATTAAGAAATATATCAGACATTAAAAGTGTTACACATTTGAAAATTAATCTATGTAATAAACCATATTAACAGAATAAAGAAGAAAATCATATTATTATATCAATGGATACAGAGAAGGCATTTGACAAAATTCAATGCCCATTCATAATTTTTAAAAAATTCTCAGAAAACTCTAGAAATAGAAACTTGCTCAATTTGATACAGAACACCCACAAAAGAGCCCCCTACAGGTAATGTCATGCTTAATGGTAAAGACTGAATGCTTTCTAGCTAAGATTAGAAACAAGGTAAGGATGTCTATTCTCACCACTGCTACTCGATATAGTACTAGGTGTTTTAGCCAGTGCAATGAGGCAAGAAAGAGAAATAAAAGGCATTGAGATTAGAAAGGGAGAAATAAATGTATCTCTATTTAAAGACAACATGATGATCCATATAGAATATCTCAAGGTAATGAAAAAACTCCTGAAACTAATAAGTGAATTCAGCAGGGTGGGAAGCTGAAGGACATGGAGACACAAAAAACCCCTTCAAAATTTCAATAAAGCCAGGAACTTTTTTTTGAAAAGATCAACAAAATAGACAGACTGCTAGCCAGACTGAAAAAAAAGAAAAGAGAGAAGAATTGAACAGATGCATTAAAAATGATAAAGGGGATATCACCACTGATTCCACAGAAATACAAACTGCCATCAGAGATTACTACAAACAACTCTATGCACATAAGCCAGTAAATATGGAAGAATGGATAAATTCCTGGACACTTACACTCTCCCAAGCCTAAACCAGGAAGAAGTTGAATTCCTGAATAGACCAATAATAAGGTATGAAGCTGAGGCAGCAATTAATATCCTACCAACCAAAAAAAGTCCAGGTCCAGATGAGTTTACAGCCAAATTCTACCAGACACACAAACAGGAGCTGGTACCATTCTTTTTGAAACTATTTCAAACAATACAAAAAGAGGGAATCCTCCCTAACTCATTTTATGAGACCAACATCCTCCTGATGCCAAAACCTGGCAGAGACACAACTAAAACAGAAAACTTCAAGGCAATATCCATGATGAACATCGATGTAAAAATCTTCAATAAAATCCTGTCAAACCGAGTGCAACAGCACATCAAAAAGCTTATCCATGATGATCAAGTAGGCTTCATCCCATGGATGGAAGGCTGGTTCAACATATGCAAATCTATAAACCTAATCCAACACATAAACAGAACCAAAGACAAAAACCACATGACCATGTCAATAGATGCAGAAAAGGCCTTTGATGAAATTCAACAGCCCTTTATGCTAAAAACTCTCAATAAACTAGGTATCAATGGAACATATCTCAAAATAATGAAAGATATTTATGAAAAACCCACAGCCAATATTATATTGAACAGGCAAAAACTGGAAGCATTCCCCGTGAAAGCTGGCATAAGACAAGGATGCCTTCTCTCACCATTTCTATTCAATATAGTATCAGAAGTTCTAGCCAAAGCAATCAGTCAAGAAAAAGAAATAAAGGGTATTCAACTAGAAAAAGAGGAAGACAAATTACCTCTATTTGCTGATGACATGATTGTATATTTAGAACACCCCATCATCTCAGCCCAAAATCTCCTTAAGCTGATAAGCAACTTCAGCAAAGTCTCAGGATACAAAATCAATGTGCAGAAATCACAAGCATTCCTATACGCCAACAACAGACAAGCAGAGAGCCAAATCATGAGCAAACTCCCATTCACAATTGGTACAAAGATAATAAAATACCTAGCAATACAACTAACAAAGGATGTGAAGGACCTCTTCAAGGAGAACTACAAACCACTGCTCAAGGAAGTGAGAGAGAACATAAATGGATGGAAAAACTTTCCATGTTCCTGATTAGGAAGAATCAATATCATGAAAATGGCCATAATGTCCAAAGTAATTTATAGATTCAATGCTATATCCATCAAGCTACCATTGACCTTCTTCACAAAACTGAAAAAAACCACTTTAAACTTCATATGGAACCAAAAGAGAGCCCGCATAGCCAAGTAAATCCTAAGCAAAAAGAACAAAGCTGAAAGCATCACGCTAAGTGACTTCAAGCTATACTACAAGGCTACAGTAATCAAAACAGCATTGTACTGGTACCAAAACAGAGACATAGACCAATGGAATGGAACAAAGGCCTCAGAAGTAATGCCAGACATCTACAACCATCTGATCTTTGACAAACCTGACAAAAACAAGTAATGGGGAAAGGATTCCCTGTTTAATAAATGGTGTTGGGAAAACTGGCAGAAATGTGCAGAAAGCTGAAACTGGACCCCTTCCTTACACCTTACACTAAAATTACCTCCAGATGGATTAAAGATTTAAACATAAAACCTAACACCATAAAAACTGAGAAGAAAACCTAGGCAAAACCATTCAGAACGTAGGCATAGGCAAGGACTTCATGAGTAAAACACCAAAAGCAATGGCAACAAAAGCCAAAATAGACAAATGGGATGTAATTAAACTTAAGAGCTTCTGTACAGCAAAAGAAGCAATGATTAGAGTGAACCAGCAACCAACAGAATGGGAAAAAGTTTTTGCAATCTACCCATCTGACAAAGGGCTAATATCCAGAATCTACAAAGAACTACAGCATATTTACAAGAAGAAAAAACAAACCCATTCAAAAATGGGCAAAAGATATGAAGAGACACTTTGCAAAAGACATTTGTGAGGCCAACAAACATACGTAAAAAAAAATGCTCATCATCACTGGTCATTAGAGAAATGCAAATCAAAACCACATTGAGATACCATCTCATGCCAGTTAGAATGGCAATCATTAAAAATCTGGAGACAACAGATGCTGGAGAGGATGTGAAGAAATAGGAACACTGTTACACTATTGGTGGAGTGTAAATAAGTTCAACCATTGTGGAAGACAGTGTGGCAATTCCTCAAGGATCTCGAAATAGAAATTCTATTTGATCCAGGAACCCCATTACTGGGTATATACCCAAAGGATTATAAATCATTCTTTTATAAAGACACATGCACACATATGTTTATTACGGCAACGTCTACAATAGCAAAGACCTGGAACAAACCCAAATGCCCATTAATGACAGACTGGACAAAGAAAATGTGGCAGATTAACACCATGGAATACTATGCAGCCATAAAAAAGGATGAGTTACGTCCTTTGTAGAGATATGGATGAATCTGGAAACCATCATTCTCAGCAAACTGACACAAGAAGAGAAAACCAAACACCACATGTTGTCAGTCATAGGCAGGTGTTGAACAATGAGAACACATGGGCATGGGGAGGGGAACGTCACACACTGGGGTCTGTTGGGGGGTGGGGGTCTAGGGACACTTGGGGGTGGAGAGTATGGGGAGGGATAACACTGGGAGAAATGCCTGATGTCGGTGATCGGGGGATGGAGACAGCAAACCACAATGGCATAGATGTACTATGCAACAATCCTGCAGGATCTGCACATGTACCGCAGAACTTAAAGTACCATTAAAAAAAGAAAGATATTAAGTGAAAGTCTAACAAAACATGCATAGGACATGTATGCTGAAAATTACAAAAATCTAAGGAAGGAAATCAAACATAAATGAAAGATGAGGCATGTATTGTATATGGATTAGAAGATTCAATACAGTTAATTCTCCCCAAATTGCTATATAGGTTTAACACAATTTCTATTAAAAATACCAGCAAGATTTTTTATAGATATAGACAAGATTATTATAAAATTTGTATGGAAAGTCAAAAACACGATTCTTAAAAATAAGAATAAAATGGGAGGAATCAGTATACCCAATTTCAAGAGTTGTTATGTAGCGACGGTAATCAAGACTTTGCTATAGAAGCGGTATAGATACATAAGTCCATGGAATAGAATAGAGAGCTCACAAATAGACTCACACCAATATATCAAACTGTTTTTTGACAAACGTACAAAAGTAACTCAATGGAAGAAATATTCTTTCCAACAAATGGCGCTAGAGCAAGACATATGAACAAAAAAAATGACGTGAACAAAACAATGAACAAAAATATGAACAAAAGTGACATATAAACAAAAAGTATAGGCAAAAATACGAACTACAACCTAAACGTCACACATTATACAAAAATTAACTCAAAATGGATCATTGAAGTTAGGTGAAATATACATTTATAAAAATTTTAGAATATAATATAAGAGAAAACTTTAGGACCTAGATTTCATGAAGGGTTCTTAGGTATGACAACAAAAGCACAATCCATAAAGGAAAAAATGAATAAATTAACAACTTTAATTCTGTGAAAGACTGTTTGAAGAGGATGATAAAATAAGCTATGTTTACAAACAACATATCTGACAAAGGACTCATATGAAGAATACATAGTGAATTCTCAAAACTCAAAATTAAAAAAAAATAAACACTCCCATTACAAAATGGGTAAGAGGTCTACTTGCTTCAGCAGCACGCATACTAAAATTGGAATGATATGGACAAGATTAGCATGGCCCCTGCACAAGAAAATAGGTAAAAGCAGAGTCATCTCACCAAATAAAATATATAATTAACAAATAAGCACATGAAAATATGTTCAATATCATAAGACATTAGGAATATGCAAACTTAATCCACAAAAGATATTACTGCACATTTATTAGATTGGCTAAAGAAAAAAAAAATGACAGATGATGCTAGTGAGGATGCAGAGAAACTGAATCTCATACATTGCTGGTGGGAATGTAAAATCTCACAGCCACTCTGGAAAACAGTTTGGCAGTTTCTTAAAAACTACATATTGCAATTACCCTATGACCCAGTAATTGCAATCTTAGGCTTTTCATTTCCAGAGAAATGAAGACTGATGGTTGCACAGAAACTTATATACCACCGTTCACAGAGCTTTGTTTGTAGTAGACCAAAACTGAAAACCACCAAAATGTCCCTCAGTTGGTGAATGTGTAAACAAACAGTGGTATATCCTTTACTGCTGAAATGCTACTCAACAATAAAAATGTGTACATTTATGATACATAATAACTAGGATTTGTCTCAAGAACATGCTGAGTGAAAAAAAGCTAATCTCAAGAGGTTTCAGGTTGTATGATTTCATTTACATACCTTTCTCAAGATGATAAAGTTACAGAGATGGAAAGCAGATCAGTGGTTGCCAGGTGTTAGGAATGATGAAGGGATGGAGTATTGGGTATGACTAATAAGAGGTAGCAATATCGATCCTTGTGGTGATGATATAGTTCTATATTTTGATTGTGGTGGCAATTCCACTTAATATATATATTAAATTATATATATTTTACCAATGTCAAATTCCTGATTCTGATATTGTACTACAGTTATCTAATTTGCAACCATTGAAGGAAATCGGGTGAAGGGTACATAGGCTTCTGTACTATTTTTCCACTTTTTGTAAATCTAGAATTATTTAAAAATGAAAAGTTAAAAAATGTACAGAGAAAACTAGATGGACCACCCATATACCTACCATTGAGTTTACCCAATCATAAAAATTTGCCATATTTGAACATTTCATTTTTAAATTAACATGCAATAAAATTGACTTTTTGGTGTATAGTTGTATGAATTTTAATATATGTGCAGATTTGTGTTACCAGCATGATTAGAATTTGTTTTGACCACAATTAGAATCAAATACACTTCGTAACCCTAAAACCTCCCTTGTGCTATCCTTTTGTAGTCTCACCTTCCCCCTACACCTAACCTCTGGCACACACTGCTATGTTCTTTGTCCCTATTGTTTTTCTTTCTAGAATGCCATATTAATGGAATCCTACACTATGCAGTCTATCGAGGCTGACGTCTTTCACTTAGCATAAGAAATTTGAGTTATCCAAGTTGTTGTGTTTAACAGTAGTTCATTGACGTTATTGCTAAGTAGTATTCTATTGTGTGGATGTAGCTCAGAAAGTTTATACGTTTATTTGAGCTGTTGAAGGACACTTAGACAGTTTTTATTTTTGCAGATTATGAACAGAGTTGCTCTAAAAGTTTATGTATACATTTTTATGAATAGTTTTTCTATTGAGATATAATTCACATACCATACAACTCACTCCTTTAAAATGCACAATTCGGTGGATTTGAGTCTATTTTACAAGGTAGTGCAGCCATCACTAACTACTATATAATTACAGAACATTTCAACAACCCCCGAGAAATTCATGCCCATTAGCAGTCACTTCTTTCTTCCTACTCCCAGTCCAAGACAACCACTAATGTACTTTCTGTCTCTATAGATTTGCCTGTTTTAGACATTTCATATAAATAGAGTCATATAATGTGTGGCCTTTTGTGCCTGGCTTCCTTCACTTCGCATAATGTTTTTAAGGCTCATCTATGTTGTAATATATATCAGTAGTTTATTCCTTTTTATTGCTAACTAATATTCCATTGTAGGGATATACCATAATTTGTTTACCTGTTCATCAGTGGATGGACAGTTGTTTCCACTTTTTGGCTACTATGCATAACACTGCTATGAACATTTAGATACAAGTTTTTACGTGGACATATGTTTGCGTTTCTCTTGATTATGCAGAATTAAGTGTAAAATTACTGAGCTATGTTGTAACTCTGTGTTTAACCTTTTGAGAAACTGCCAAACCATTTTCCAAGGTGGCTGTGTTAGTTTATATTCTCACCAGTAATGAGGGTTCAATTTCTGCCCATTCCCATCAATGCTTGTAGTTGTCGTCTGTATTTTTTTTAAATTAGTCATCCTGGTAGCTATGAAATAATGTCTAACTATGGTTTTGATTTGCATTACCCTAATGGTTAATGGAATTGAATGTCTTTTCATGTGCTTAATAGGCACCTCTATATCTTCTTTAGAGAAATATCTATTCAAATCCTTTGCCCATTTTCAAATTGGGTTGTCTTGTTATTGTTGAGTTGCAAAAGCTCTTTATACATTCTGGATATAAGTCCTTTATTAAACATATGATTTGCCAATATTTTCTTCTATTATGAATGTTGTCTTTTTCTTGTATTCATGGTGTCCTTTGATGCTCAAAAGCTTTAAATTTTGATAAAATCCAATATATTTTCTTTAATTCTTTGTGCTTTAGCTATTATATCTAAAAATACCATTGCCTAATCCGAGGTCAGTCACAAAGATTTACACCCATGTTTCCTTTTAAGAATTTTAGTTTTTAGTTCTTACATTTAGGTCTTTGATTCGTTTTGAGTTAATTTGTTCATATGGTTGTAGTGGCATTTATAACTTTCTTTCTCCACTATGTATTCCATATTCACCAGGGATTTTTGTTTTTGTTTTGCTTGCCTGTTTGGGTTTTTTGTTTGTTTGTTTATTTACCCTATAGCATAATCCCAATTTTTATTTCAAGAAAAACTGAGCCTTTGATAGTTTGCCTGTATTGGATTGCTGTAACTTTCCAGTGGTGGAAATACTATTACCTTTGGAATTAAAAATTATAACCACACCAAGTCCAAGGTTGCAGGGAGTGAAGTAACTTTTTGTGAGTGGGTCATTAGGTGTAATAATGATTGATGCCATCTCTATTTCCACTATTTGGTAGCCTGGCTATAAGAGAGATATTGGTTGCCAGTTCAGAGCACAACTATATCCATAGAACAGTACTTCAACTTCTCCTAGTTAAGGCTGTAACTGATTCAGTGTTAGGTAATGCACCATTCAATTAGGCTATCTGCTTTGGAGGGATGGCATCCATGGTAAGATCTGTGAAACCCATGAATATGAGACTATTGTCTCTCTTTTTGTTTTCTGTCTGATAAATGAATTATTTAATTAGAATGCATGTTGCAAAGATACTGTAATGATGAATAAGATATTCAGTAAATCCATGGATGGTGGTACTTGTGGATAGGCAATGTGAGCACGTATAAAAAATAGTTGTCTATTCCATTGAGGGAAAATATCTGCCTCCCAAATGATAGTTGTAGTTATACTGTTATCAGATAGACATATGGTTATACTGGCTTATGGTTCCAAATTAGCAGCTCAGCAGTGGTGTGTGCTAGAGGCAGATTGGGCACTCAGCAGTGGCTATAGCTAGACTAGTTTTTTGATAAGAGGAACCTCATGTTATTCAGCTATATGTATCTTACACCCTTACCATCATGGCCATTTTATTCATCAGCCATAGCGAGCAAGCTCTAATGTAGCTGGGCAAGGACATCTACAGATGAAATGTCTATTTTCTCAAAAAATTTTAGGACATGCTTAGTCCTGATCTTATATATCAGTTCTATTTGAAAGGAAATGCTGCTATGCATGCTCAACTTTATGTCTTGGCAGATCAAATAAGACCCATATACGAAGGGAACCTTGGGTTCTAGGGTCATTTTGTTTCCCATGGTCAGGCATTAAATTCTTACCCATAACACACAAGAAAATTGAGAGCTACTTTACAATATAAGAGGCTTTTCTTTAAAACTTTTGAGGGATGAGGAGAAATTTATACAAATGAGTCTCCTATTAGGGCTTGCTACCATCTCTATATAACAACCTGAGCTGCTATAGATATTTTTGAGCACCACTGGATCTGTTGAGTCATAAAGGCCAAGTGTCAGAGGTAACATGAACCCTCCAGGTTCTAGCAGTATTATGTCCATTAGGATGGTGTGATCATCAAGGTGCCTAGATTCAGCTAAAGACCCAGAAAGTTGGTGAACTTATGAAATAAGACCCTTAGCATATACTGATGTCAGAGGGTATACTTAGGATATATAGTAATGGTAAACTGATGAAAGCAACTTGTTTTCTGTTTTATGGCTATTGAGATAGAGAAAATGTCCGATTGGTAACTGCAAATGAGGTTCTAAGAGCTATGTTTATTTGGTGAGGTAAACATATCCTTGATGTTGGATCAGGACATCCTAATGGTGTAGCCACTATTAAGGGTTTGTTTGTTAACTATTAAAGTCCTACATGATCTGAGTTTGGTGAACCACTTATCAATAGGACTGAAAGGAGGATGATAGCTAGGATGACTTCTTAAGAAGTTGTTTGGGCTACTGCTCATAGTGCATTTTATATATATATATATGAGATACATACAACTTTACATATATATTTTCTGTATTCAGCCATTCTTGCATTTCTATAAAGAAATACCCAAGACTGGATAATTTATAAAGAAAAGAGGTTTAATTAGCTCATGGTTTTGTAGGCCGCACTGGAAGCATATCTCCAACTTTAGCTTCTGGGGAGGTCCCAGGAAGCTTATCATTATGACAAAAGGCAAAGTGGGAGCTGGCACTTCACATGGTGAAAGCCAGAGTGAGAGTGAGAGCGAGAGCGAGACAGAGAGAGAGAGAACACACATACATGAATGTGTTGGAGGGGAGGTGCCATGCACTTTTCAATGACCGAACCAGATCTCAGGAGAATTTACTATCAGGAAGGCAGCACCAAGCCATGAGGGATCCATCCCCATGATCCAAATACCTCCCACCAGGTCCAGCACTGGGGACTACAGTTCAACATGAGACTTGGCAGAGACAAATATCCAAACTATATCAATATCTATGTGATATATATAGATATAAGGACACTAATGTTTTGTCAGTTATTTAAGTTTCAAATATCTTTTCTCAGTCTGTTATTTATTTTTTTAATGTTTAAATGCTGTCTTTTGCCTTTAGAGGTTGGAAATTTTTATGAAATCAAATTTATCCATATTTTCCAATAAGACCTCTGCTTTCTGTATCTTAAGAAATTATTTTCTACCATAAGGATTTAAAGGGAATCTTTTATGCTTCATTCTAATAATTTTAAAGTTTTGTTCTTTATTCAGGTCTTTAAAACATCTGGAGTTTATTTTTGTGTATAGTATAAGGGAAGTAGCTAATTAAATTTTTTTCCATATGAAAGTTAATTATCTTCATACCATCTATTGAATACTCTATGCTTTCCTTACTTTATACAATTCAAAAAATACCCAAACCTATTGTATGTTAGATATTGTTCTGGGCACTTAAAATGCAGTAATAAAAATATAGACAAAAGTAGTCCTATTGGTAATGTGAATTATATTTGTCATTAAAGCTGCTAGAATATTCCTACCCTCTTGAAGCTTATATTATACATTGAGGAAGTATGTAATTAATAAGTATATTACATAGTATGTTGGAGATGATAAATGTTATGGAAAAAATAAAGAGAGTAAAAAAATTTGAAGTGCTGGGTTAAGAGAGAAGGTTGTAACTTTAAATCAGGTAGTCTAGGTTGGTCTTGTTGAGAAGTCCACCTTTGGGTGAAGACGTGAAGAAGTGAAGGAGTTTGCATATTAATATTTGGGGGATAATAAAAGTTAATACTTATACATACTATGTGCCAGGGTCTGTTCTAAACACTATATGTATATATTTGCTCATTTACTCCTCGTAACAACTGAGAATCCTACTGTTATTATCATCGTCTTCATGTGACAGATGGGTGAAATGAAGCACAGGAAGGTTAAGTACCTCACCCAAGGTCCCCAGCTAATAGAATCAGAATTTGAACCTAGGTGGTCTGGTTCCAGAGCCCACGGTTTTACCACTATCTTATGATATAGCAAGTTGCTGTTTATGCTGGTATCTGTTTTGTTTAATTAATCTTTGTCCTCCAGGCAAACACCACACCATCTTAATCACTACAGCTTCATAACGAATTTTCATGGGGCAGATATTGGCTTCTGATTGCTCTTTTTAACAATGTTCTTGGCTACTCTTAGAGTTTTATATTCTTCCACAACAATTTTGAAGTAATTTTTTTGAATTTCACTAAAATTCCTGTTGGGGCTGTTATTGGAATCTATGTATAGATTACTTTGGGGAGGATTGATACCTTGCAGCATTGCATCTTGTTATCCACGAGCCTGGTCTGACTTTGCATTTATTCACAGCTTCTGTTACGTTTTTTTAATAGTTTTGCAATTTTCTCAATAAAGGCCCTATGCATAAACAATCTTGTACTATGTTCCAGCCTCATTTCCTGTTTGCTTACTCTGTTCCACCCTAGATCCTACTCTCTGTGCTTCTGATTGGTAACGTAAACTGATAATTTTTTGGTGTTGTGTGTGTGTGTGTGTGTGTGTGTGTGTGTGTGAGAGAGAGAGAGAGAGAGAGAGAGAGAGAGAGAGAGAGAGAGAGAGAGAGAGATGGATGAGCAGTTTCTTGACCCTGCTCTTCAAGCTGAGTTTGATTAACCCAGACTGCAGCATGTCAAGAAAGATCTAAGGCTTCCTTCATGATTTTTGCAAGATGTGTAGTCCTTTCCTCAATGAGTCATCAAACCCCTCAGGGGCAGTGATGGATGTTTCCTACACTGTCCTGCCTGTGTTACAGCGCACATGGCAAGTAATCAAAAGGTCTTATTGCTACATTTTTGACATGGAGTTGCTATTCTTTTTCTTAAATCACTTCACTCCATTGAGCCCTCAACCATGACTCTCCCTTAACCTTCAAAGTTGACTTCCATATTGAAAGATGTACTTTTTTTCACATCTGAGACCTTCTCTTTTGCCAGTAGCTTGCTTACTCTGAAGAAGTGAGAAAGAGGGACTTGGTGAGTAGCTGAGAGCTCTTTGAGAAGAAATACCTTTTTGAGATGATCTCGTCCAACTTTTGCAAAAGTTTTTTATCCCCATAGAGCATGTTCTGGGGTGACCAAAATATTCTGAGCTTCAAAAAAATAGGTGGAAGCTCTGTATTCCAGTTTTTTTTTTCTTTTTGAGACACACATTATAGTTTGTATTAAGGGCCCTGACAAGTTTTATGATAAGCAAAACTACCTTTGTTCAGCGCATAACTTTTCAATCATTTTTCATCACAGAATTTTCTTCTGTTTTAAGGAACATCTATTAATGCCCATATACCTCAAACAAGGAAATATTGATTCTGCCTATCCCTCTGCTCTCTGGTATATATGAAGCAAACAAAGTCATTTATCCTAGGCTGTCTCATAAAGACATTTTTCAGCTTCCACAGTAGCATTGCAAAGCCTATATTATGAGGAAATTTCCTAAAATACATTCCAAATGCTTCTTGTTTAAGTTTTATTATCCCCTCCACTGCTGTATCTTCACCAGAAATAAAATGATTTTGAGTTCTGATGCAAAATTAATTGCTACATATTTACTGAAGAGGTTTTAAAACATTAGCCTTATTAGAATTTCCATATTTCCCTGTTTTTATTCCTTAATTTTTCTGCCTCTAGCGTGAATAATGTTGATTTTTCATGAGATTGCCACAAGGTAAGGCAACAACGCATGGAAGAAAACAGGGCAGACACACGCATTCCCCTGGGGTACTTGTATAGTAACCAAGAAATCAGCAGCAAGGTATTGGGAGGACTTAACTAGGCAGGTTGAACATTTGAGGCTGTCCACCCAACTAACAGACAGCTCCAGGCTTTGCTGAGTCAACACCTTTCACAGAAGAAAGACATATTTTCAATCCTACTTGGAGGCAACTTACAATGAAACACATGGGGAGAAAAATGCTTAAATATAAAAGATCAACAGCTCTATATAAAAGGAAGGGTTAATTATGCTAGGAATCAGATATAAAATAATTACTGAGCATGCTATTATCTCTGAGCTTCCTGGGAGCCAAGCAAAAGTAGAACCATGATAGTTCAAGGCTGCTACATATTGGTGCATGCAGCCTCAGTTGTGAAGATAGTAGCCTCCCCCTACCCCATTTAACCTCTCACCTTTCTCTTTTGTTTTAGAGTTTGGCATGATCTCATTAGCCCATCTTGGATGCTTCCTTGAATTTTTCGTAACGCATTTTATATAAAGAAGCCAGTTAATGACAAATAAGCAGTTTGAGGAGAAATCTGTTAGTATTCATTTTGTAGCCATCACATTTCCTTCACATAGAAAGGTAGTTGGGTTGGGTTTGAACTTTCAAACTCTCAAAGGTAAATGCCACATTCACCTTTTATTAACCAAATTCTTACATCAGGCTGAAAGGTTTGGGGTGTCCTTTTCAATCCTATCTTCCGTAATATTCTAGAATTCTTTTCCCTTGTCTTGTTCCTATCCTACTTCCTCTTAGTCTACTTTGTTGACTTCATAAAAAAAAAAAAAAAACAATTAAAACAAACAAAAAACCCAATTGTTGGATACTTAAGTTAAACTGCCTTAAATAATCAGCAGATTTGATTTTCTTTTTCCTCCCAAGTGAGTGAAAGGAAGAGAGCTACAATTTCTAGGAAGCTGGGTTTTGCTGTCTGAGTCCAGCCCCCAAGCAGATTAGACCAAGGTTTTGGCCAAGTGAAATTGCCAATTTTCTGAAAGAAAGGACTAGCACATTGCTCATTAGAGCATTCTGATTTTGTCTGTGCAATCTTTTTGCTACCCTGCAATTTCCTGTTAGTTATAAATGAAACCTTTCTAGCTGTTAATGCAGCCTGTGAATTTTTTTAAAAGCGTGTAATTAATCATAGGAGGTTGGGGGGATTCACTAAGCCTGAGTTACAGGGGAGAAGCTGGACAAGGCACTAGGACCTAGAAGGCATCTATCCACCCTGGCAGGAATTTCTTGCTTGGAGCTCAGACAACAAAGGCACAGAGAGATTGGTTTTCTTTCTCTCAGCATCTCCACCCAACCAGCAGAAAACCGGTGAGTGGGGCTTTTGAGTGATTTTCAAGCAGAATGTAACAGATGTCAAACGGGAAAAGCACCAGGCAAAGCCTGCTCTCTGTCTCTCTGTCTCTTCTTTTCCTTTTCTGCCTTATTCTATCTGATTTTTTCCCTAAGCTTCTACCTGGGATTTTCCTTTGGAAAAGTGAGTTTGATGTTTCTTTGTTTTCACTGTGATGTTAATTTAGAATGATACTACCTTTGATCCTAAAGCAAAGCAAAGCATTACTGGCATGCCTGGGGAAATGTTTGCTACTTGCCTTGAAGAGGTGGGGTCTCTTACCACTGCAGGTTGTCTGACAGAGACAATGCTGAGCTCAGCATAGGTCATGGTGACATTGGAAAAAAGGGGTAATCGAACCTCGCAAACCCATTAGGCACCAGTCTTTATCTCCTGTCCTCCCGGTTCCTTGCAAATACATTGATGTGGCAATGTGTAGCAGCTGAGCCCTGCTTGCTTTGTGAGTCCTTTTATCCCCATCTGTGAGATGCATGTTAATAGTTTGGCTCTTAGGATGTCACTACATTTGCTAGCATTTGGGGCTTCAGTTGTGTTGGGTTTCAGGTTTTGATTGTTTGGGGTTTCTTTGGGGGGAGGGGTTCAACAGAAGGGAGAAAAGCAAAGCCTGACAAATGACCATCTTTTCCTCAGCTAATGCACCTGGGCAATATACAAGTTTGGGGTGAATTGCTGGCTCTGAGGGTAAAATGTCCCTTCAATTAGGGTAGAAACCCCGAACAATGAAAGGTGTGCTTCCTTCTAAAGGTCCCATATGCTGTTTGGAGACTCATTTGTGAATTTTTCAACGATTAAATTATTCCATTAAGAGGTGTTGCTGCATCGGTGGGGAGAAGATGGAGCACCTGTGGTGGAGGGGAAGGGTTTTGTGAACAAATGGTACCGGGGGAAGGCACAGCTAATAACTTGTTAAATAACTTATTTTTATAATCCTTCCTCCCCACCAGTTTATTTCTCACTAATGTCAGATAGCTGCACCAGCTTGGTGGGGAACGGGTTTGATGAATAGCACAAAGACACTGGCTGTTCCCTGGAGGCTGTCCCTTTAAAGGCGAATCTTAGTTTATTCTGGGGGGAGGGGATGCACATATTAGAGTAGGAAAGAAGACTTGGAATAAAATGAAAACACTCCCCTTCATAGTCATTGTACTGAAATGCCAAGACTGCTTCCTAAGCTGGAGATGCTAACCTTAGCTAGCTCCTTCTGTTCTCTTCAAGGGGAATTTTGTCAGGCTATGGATTCATTTACAACTGTTAGTCATGTGGGCATGTGTGAGGAAACAGATGCCAGTTTTAATGTATTTAGCCCGAAGTTACAATTTGATAGGAGCCACTGTCAGTAAGTCTCAGGATTTTCAGCTATTTCAAAATCTCCCCCTCTCCTCTGTCTGGAACAGTGCCAAGAGTGCCTCCCTCTCTATCTCTTACTCCCAACCCCCACAACCACCAGCACCCCCGCCCAGCCCCTCCTTCTTCTCTATTAAGATCAATATTCCTGCAGGTCAGGGGCAAGCAGCAGATGGGTCACAGGCTTTTTTCAACCAGTTCTTTTCACAAGCAGCAGATTGCAGATCTGGATCTGGCTAATATTTGAATTCCTTTCTTTTTTCCCTCTCCCCGTCCTTTTTTGTTTTTGCCTCTCTTCGCCCCCATCCCTTTCTCCAACGCTCAGGTCTCTAAGGTTCCACTAAAATATGGAACTTGATTTTGGACACTTTGACGAAAGAGATAAGACATCCAGGAACATGCGAGGCTCCCGGATGAATGGGTTGCCTAGCCCCACTCACAGCGCCCACTGTAGCTTCTACCGAACCAGAACCTTGCAGGCACTGAGTAATGAGAAGAAAGCCAAGAAGGTACGTTTCTACCGCAATGGGGACCGCTACTTCAAGGGGATTGTGTACGCTGTGTCCTCTGACCGTTTTCGCAGCTTCGACGCCTTGCTGGCTGACCTGACACGATCTCTGTCTGACAACATCAACCTGCCTCAGGGAGTGCGTTACATTTACACCATTGATGGGTCCAGGAAGATCGGAAGCATGGATGAACTGGAGGAAGGTAATTTAAATAGTGGGTGGTGGCCCTTGGTGGGAGGTGGCATTATTGGTTATGGTTACATTCTTGGGTTGCTTTGGAAAAAAATTATGCAATGTATTTTTCAAAACACTGGGTTGATTAATGCTCAAATTTCTAATGCTATAGACATCAACAGAGCCATTAGCAATCACCCTTCAGTCTTCCCTGAGGTTGAAATGTGAATGGTGGTGATCAAGCATTGTGCTTATCTGCCAGGGTATAAAGAGGAAAATCTTAATTGTAGCATTTATTCTAGATCTTATTTATAATTAACTTTGAGTAGCACTATTGAGGCAGAGCATGAAATCATTAAGGGTATAACAAGGAAGGACATTTGGTTGGGTTAACAGAGAAAATATTGTGCCCAAATTTTCTTTGAACTGCTGGGAAATTATTTGTGAATTGCAACTCATTGGAAATACACACCCTAAGAGCAGGATTTCCTGAACATATTCACAGAGGATTATTCTTTTAGGTAAGTGGTCGCTGCTCAGCTGTTGCTTCTAAAAAGCCTACTTTAGGGTGTGTCCCTAAGGCTGAGGTCATTGGGAGAAATACCAAAGAAAGCTGTAGGTATGTCTGGTATTTTAATAAAGACCATTCCAATTAGAATAGGAATTGACTCACTGTACCTAAATCCCCTTATATCCTCTCTAGATTTTTGAATGACAACTAAATTTTCTGAATAGATTGCCAAGAATCCCAACAACCTTTGTACCCACCTTAAAATAGAGAAAATCCCAGCTCTTACCATAACTTACCCAGCCATAGAGTCTTCTTTATGGTCATTTAGAAAATAGATCTTGGGTCATATTTTTAACACTCTATATTATCAAATCAATTATGCTGAAGATGCTTCCCTATTTTTAAGTTGGTGGATATAACACATGTGATCAATTTAACCAGATCAGTACTTTAAAGAACGGCCTCAACGAGTGGTGATAATGAATGTGTTCCTTCTCAAGCCCCTTCTCTATTATCCAGCCCTTTCTCCTCACTCCTTTCATTCCCTGAGCCAAGGTGGGTTTAAAGCAGGCAGATCTCTAGATAAACTGAATTATGAAATAACCAACAAGGAAGGAGAAATAGCACCTGAAATGATTTGACGTGGGAGCAACCTGCTTCTGCTTCACTGCTTCTAAGTTTCTTGGGTTCCTAGACAAAGGAGAATGAGGGCTTCCTTTGTACAAGACCCTACTTCTCTCAAATAGCTGCTATTGCCCAAGTAGTCAGGCCAAGCGATTGTGACCAGTTACTTATATGAGATAGTGTCCATATGGTTGCTGCATCTGAGTCTCAGGGTTCTAGTTTGAGATTTTTCTTTTCTTTTCTTGTCTTTTTTTTTTTTTTTTTGAGACAGAGTTTTGCTCTTGTTGCCCAGGCTCAAGTGCCATGGCATGATCTCAGCTCACCACAACCTCCGCCTCCCGGGTTCAAGTGATTCTCCTGCCTCAGCCTCCCGAGTAGCTGGGATTACAGACATGTGTCACCACACCGGACTAATTTCGTATTTTTAGTAGAGATGGGAGTTTCTCCATGTTGGTCAGGCTGGTCTCAAACTCCCGACCTCAGGTGATCCACCTGCCTCGGCCTCCCAAAGTGCTGGGATTACAGGTGTGAGCCACTGCACCTGGCTGAGATTTTTCTACATAGCTGACCTCGAAAAGCAATGCCCAGGAAGCTTTGATTATTTCATCATGTGCTCAGTGGACAGGCAGAGGTTAATCCTAGGCCCTTCCTGACCAATAAAGGACTGGCCATCTTAGTGCATATCTTAGAATGAAGGAGAGTCAGGGCAAATTCGAAGGGTTTGTAGCTAGGACGAGGGAGCTGTCCAACAGAGTAATTGTTAGGGTGTCTGTCTTTTGTCATTGTAAAATCCACATCTCAGCCAAATTTCAGGGATTTCTCTGTAACAACTTTCATAAACAAAGCACCCTGTATCATCCAATATATCCTAATTTCTATGAACTGTGATATTCTAAACACAATAGACATTAGTAAAGAATACTGAACCAAGTAACATTGTATTCAGAGCAAGTATTAGAATATTCTTGCGTCTGATGTAAGAGAAGTGTTATGCAGAAAATTTTCCCCCAAATCCATTTTTTACATATTGATTTTTCTCCCTAGATGTGTGTGTGTGTGTGTGTGTGTGTGTGTGTGTGTGTGTGTATTGGTGTATTACAAGAGGGCTGGTGATAATCCGTTCGACACAGGTAGCAATAAATGTAATTTTGAAAAGACTGCAGCTTTCTATTCCCTTGATTCCTTTTGAGTCCCACTAGATTGAACTCCTCTTATTTATCACTCCTGTGTTCAGTGGTACTTTTTGTTGAATTCCTGGGCTATGCAAAGTGTGAATAGGGCTCAGTTGCATTTGTTCACATGTCATCTACAACTACAAGTCCCAGTGGACCTCAATGCCCTCCAGTCCTGAGTACTGCCTGTTCAGTCAAGAAAATTCAAGGCTATCTCCAGGATAGTGTTAAGAAATGTGATCAGTCTTGGCACTGCCACAGAGCCAAATGGGCACTGGGATAAGGAGGATGAAAATAACGTGTCTTTTTACCTCATATTTTATATTTTAGAACTGCCCATCAGGGAATGGAGAACAAAAGCCCTTTGACTTTGTTCACCTTTGCAAGAGATTGAACAAAAGATCAAAATATTATATACATTGCTTCCAGTTAGACTTCCTGGCTTGAAAAATCAGGGTCATTGTGTTCTAGTCTTAGAGGCAGCAGATTATAATGAAAAAAGAAGTCTTTGGACTCAGATTTGGTTCAAATCCAGGATCTGTCAGTGTTAGTCTGCAAGACCTTGAGTTAACCATCTAGATTCCCTGAGACTCAGTTTGTCATCTGTAAAACAGGAACAATGACTTTGAGGATTAAATAAGACAGAGGTTATAAAGTGCAAGTTACTCTGCTAGGCACACAATAGTGTTTAATAAAAGGTAGTAATTATTGTCTGAGTTATCCTACTTTATAGCTAGTTAGCTACATGATCATAGGTTTGTCGTTATCATTAATGTGACTGTTATTTATTTTTAAAATAACTAGAAAACAACTGTTTTAAGGTATAATTTCCATAAGACAAAATTCACTCATTCGAGTGTAAAATGATTTTTGGAAGATTTATCAAGTGGTGCAACCATCATCATAACATAATTTTGGACCATTTTCATCTCCCCAAAAAGAAACCCTACTCCAATTAGTTGTCACTGAATTATTTTCTCCAATCTCTCCAGCTCTAGACAATGATTAATCTACTTTCTGTCTCCACAGATTTGTCTATTCTGGGCATTTCATATAAATTTAACCAAATACCATGTGGTCTTTTGTGCTTCTTTTACTTAGAATAATGTTTTCAAATTTTATCTATGTCGTTCCATGTATTGGCACTTCATTCTATTTTGTTGAAGAATAAGGTGTCATTGTATGTGTAGACCACAATGTTTTGTGTATCTCTTGTGAGTAATATTTTTAACTGTAAAATGGGACTAGTAACACCTGCCTTCTCTATCCATAGGGTGGTTGTAAGGATAAACTTAGACAATAGATATGGAAACACATTGACAAGGTAAAATTATAGCTACAGGTACTATTATTATTAATGATGTAAAATACCAATAATGGAAATAATAATGATCATGAAAATGATGATGTTAGTAAGGGATTGTAATGATCAGTGGCTCCCAAACCTGGCTGCCTTTCAAAATCTTTCAGAACTTTAGAGAAATATTACATTCCTGGGCCACACCCAAGATCTATTGAATCAGAATCCCCAGCTAGTGCCTCAGTGTTTGTGTTTTTACAACTCTCCTCATGTGATTTTTATGAGCACTTAGACTTGGGAAGTCTTAGACTGGGGGATCTTGATGGTCCCATTCAACTAACCAAAGTGGTAGGACTCTTTAGAAATGCAGAAATCTGTTTTTATTTTTTTCTTTATATATATTAAAGGAATAATAGAGCATAGAACACACTGTGTTTTCAAATGACCGCATTATTACATATTTAGCCTGAAAAATAAAATTTAAAAATGATCGGTTAATGACTCTGGCCTTGGGCACTCCTTTGTCTAGTGCCTCTAGTCTACTGTTTTCTGCTAGATACAGAAAGTATCAGGGGAAGCATTTTGGATCAAATGTTATTGATGTCAGTTTTCCCACAGTCCTTGGGTACAAGGAGGGTCTTAGTGAAGCCACGTAAGATGTGGTCCTCATTAGCTGTGTCCCTAGGAGGTCAATGAATAATATCCACTGATGGGTTTTCCTTTTGTCATGACTTTCCTTTTTCTTTCTTTCTTTTTTATTTATTTATTTTTTTGTAGAATTTTTCTCCTTCCCTTTATGTCTGGTTCATTTCTTCCCCGATTTTCTTGTATGTAAGTATGCAGATCAATGTTGGGGGTATCATTTATGACTAGCCAGCTTCTCTGAACCCAAATTGAGACAAGTTCAAGAGTTATTACCCAGACCATGGGACAGAATATTTACAACTGGAACAGTCTTAGAAAATCTGAGCTGTGTAGTCACACCAGGTATGATCCAGTTCTTTTGCCAAAGCTCATTTGTTTCAATGAGATGAATCCACCTTCTCACTAATTTATTCTGTAACTACTAAAGCAAGTACATTGTCAAAGACAAGAATTTTAAGATACCTGGGAGGGATGCATTGTTAACAGATATGATAATATAATCAAATGTCATTTAATATTTTAATATAATACAGTAAAGTATCATTTAATATATTCCTTTTTGAGTCAGGAAGCCCTGGAAAAGAGGAGAAAACCCAGGCAGAAGTGCTTTTGCACTGAGAAGATACAAATACATACAGTTCTTTTGAAAATGGAGCCTTCTTAAAGAGAAGGGAGGTAGACATTAGATCATCTTGAGCCCACAGCTTGTTACATTTCTGCCCTTTCAGCTGTGCTTCCATGATTTCATTTCCTTACCCTCTCACCCTAAAGCAGGTTGTTAGTTCCAGCCAATTTGCACCTTGCTTGGCTCTGAAGCCAGCTTTCCCTCTAGGCCTCCAGCTGGTAGGAAATAGCCCTTGGAAGCGGTGGCAGGATGGGAACCCAGCTGTGTAAAGGTGCAACCCACCTTATCCAGCTCCAAGTGCCAGGCAGCAGGATGTGCAGGAGGCACTGAGCTCTGGCAGCAGACGTTGAAAATGCTGGCAGAATCAGAACAAGGAAGTCTTAATCTAGCAAAGAAGCACATTTGATGTCTTTCCAGCCGTAGAAGTGGAGAGTCCTTGGAGGTGGGCAGCTAGTTTCTTAACATTTAATTACCCTAACAGCTTTGTTTTCTAAAGCCTGTTTGAAAAGAGAAGAAGATGGAAAAGAGAACAAGATTCCTTTTTATAGACTCTTAGGCCTAGAATGGACTCAGGTGTCACCTAGTGTATTATCTTTGCTTTAGAGATGGCAAAGTTAAGACTCAGAGAGATTAAGTGATTTCCCTGAAATCACACAGCTTCTAAGTGCCTAGGTGAAATTTCAATCCAGGTCTCTGTGACTCTGTAGTCATCACTCTTAATGACGATAAATATCCTGCCCTCAGTGGGCCTGTGGGCCTCTGCAGTGGCAGCAGTGGCTTTGCTGGGTGTTATTATACATTTTCTACATTTGGCATTTGCCACAACTGGAAGCCTCCTCCCGACCAGCAGTAAATCTTATCTTTGAGTCACAGGCCCCAGCAGGGCTCATGTCTTATCGTAATGACAGCTCAGTTCCTAGATGGTTGCCCTTGATACCTTCCCTTTTTTTCTCTTCAGCTTCTATTCCTCTTTTCAACCTCATTCAGCACTTTCTTCCTCTTTGCTCTTTCCTTCTTGTTCTCTCCTCTCTTCCATAAGATTAGGGGCTTAATAATAATAGAAATGTATCAAGTGCTTACTGTGTTCCAGGCTCTGGAATCAGCATTTTATTTGATTTTTATTTTAAGATGGAGTCTTGCTCTTCTGTCACCTATGGTAGAGTGCAATGGTGCAATCTCAGCTCACTGCAACCTCTGCCTCCCAGGTTTAAGCGCTTCTCCTGCCTCAGCCTCCAGAGTAGTTGGGATTACAGGCGTGTGCCACCACGCCCAGCTAATTATTGTATTTTTAGTAGAGATGGAGTTTCATTATGTTACCCAAGCTAGTCTCGACCTTCTGGTCTTAAGCCATCTACCTGCCTCGGCCTCCCAAAGTGCCAGGATTACAGGCATGAGCCGCTACACCTGGCCATGGGTTGAGCACTTTATATCCATCATCTGATTTGTGCCCCACAACACCTCCTCAAGGTAGGTATTGTTATTATCACCCTTGCTTTGCAAAGAAGAAACTGAAGCCAAGGGAGGTTGGAGTGCACAACCAGAAAGTGCTGGGGACGCTGTTCTGACTGACATCATGTCAGCTGCACTTTTTCCATTACTCCATATTCAGGCCAATGAGAAAGTGGAGTGACTAAAATGTACCACTGGAAGGTGCTCAACATAGATTTGGCTGAGGGCTGGGCCCTCTGGAAAGTTCTTGGGTGCTATATGATATTATAGCTGTCAGCCATCACGTTCATTTTCATCTGGAGGTGGTTAATCATACTCATACTTTGGAGGCTTAAGAGGTTTAAGAGATGGGAGCAAAAAAAGTCCAAAGTCCTAATAGGGCTACACAGCTGACTCTCCAGAGGAGACTGGATGAGTGAAATCATAAATACATAGCTTCACACATTTCCACACCACCAGTTGTCTGATAGTTTTGAAGTACATGACAAGTCATGGAAAACATCTGACTCAAAGGCAGTGACCTCCTGGAAGGTGCCAATGAATCTGGTGAACTGCTAAGTCAAGACACCATTTCTAGGGTATGGGGGTTGTTGGCTGTGAATATATGGAGATACTAAAAGGGCCCCTTCATTCATCCTTTTCAGTCCAAAATTAAAGACCCCAGCCTATAATCACTTGGGTTGGCTTGAATTAGCCAGCAAGGGAGTCAAAGAAATCAGAGTTTCTCTTGGCTGAGATATTGACCATTTCATCCTGGGTATCAATGTATGCACCCAGTGGGTCAGGGTACCTATCTTCACTTAAAACCATCCCTTGGTTCCCTTGTCAAGATAGAACTCTGTGACTGAGGGCAGCTTAGGAAGCCACTTCGCTTATGCTGGATGCCACTTACCTCCCATCTCCACACACACACACACACATAAATGTCCTCAAAGGTGCCCTAGAGATTTGGACTGAAACTTCTCTTAGCATTAACTGAGAAGTTTATTCATTAACATGACTTAAAGGTTTTGGTGCTATGGCAAAGCAATAAATATTTGCAAAGGGAGTGAATTATCAACCTGGTGTTTCTGAATGCAGTTCTCCTGCTGAGACCAAAGGAGAGTCATCAGACTGTAATTGTGTTTAATGCTTTCTGTGCACTGGCTAGGGTTTATTTATTTATTTAGGGTTATTACCGATGACTTAAGCATGATTAAATCATACTGTTTCTGCAGCTCAACCTCTCAATGAACTTCTAGATACCTTGAGGCTAATATGTTTTACTCAAGGAATTCAACCTTTTCCAATATTCTTTTCCCCAGGCTGAGACTATCTCTCTTCCTATTTTCTTCAGCTCTTAGTCCCAGGTGTCCAATCCCCTCCTCTTGCCTCTGATCTCAGCATTTCTTCTGCTATATTAGTCATTTCCTCTAGCCTAGGGTAAATGTGAAAATTATACTCAATCCTTCCAATCCATAAATCAGGCTGTATAATGTATTCTCACTTCTGTACCTCATTACTTGTGGCAGCCAAGGGTGAGAACTGGTGAAGATGGCCCTGAATAGACAGATATCATGTACATCCTTTGAGAGGATGAAAAGATGAAGGGCGAGTGGTAGAAATAGGAGATTATTTTTCAAGCAAGAGCCAGCGCATTTATATGTACAGGTTGTTATTTAGACAGTTTCTCTACCCAGTGTAGCATAAGGAGTAGAGGACACCCTTATACACACACATAAACATTCAACATATGCACACACATTTCACATTTTAATATTCGATACTGGGCCATATACTCTGTGCAAAGGATGATCTGGTTTCTTATCAAGTATGTGTGTATGCCTGATATGCAAGGTTACTTGGTTCATTTTAACTTGGCATAAAAATGTTTTAACTTTGAAAGCTTTACTTGGTTCATAATATAACAAAAGGATGGGGCTTTGAGTCCAAAAATAGGACGGGGACTTTAAGAAATAGAGATGTTAAAAATGCTCCAGTAATGCCCCTGAAAGCTAAACATCCTAGAAACTACTATAAATGTTTAAATTCCAATAAAACCATATCAAGCTTGGAACTTCACTTGTTATATTAAATTTAGATGTGCTCTTTGTCCTCAGAACCTTTAGCTTGACAGAGTTCTTCAACTAGGTGTGCCATTATATTGAATGGTGTTTTGAGAATGACTCTTGAATTTGGATGAGCCAAGTTTTTAGCCTAATTAAGAACAGCACCTGAGGTTAGTTAATATCACCATTTCTTCAAAAGTTCTATTCCAGTGTCAGTGTCTATTTGTTTGGTTAGAATCATCCATATGTCTGTTATTAAACTAATCACCTAATCACTTATTTCTTGCCTTAGGGGAAAGCTATGTCTGTTCCTCAGACAACTTCTTTAAAAAGGTGGAGTACACCAAGAATGTCAATCCCAACTGGTCTGTCAACGTAAAAACATCTGCCAATATGAAAGCCCCCCAGTCCTTGGCTAGCAGCAACAGTGCTCAGGCCAGGGAGAACAAGGACTTTGTGCGCCCCAAGCTGGTTACCATCATCCGCAGTGGGGTGAAGCCTCGGAAGGCTGTGCGTGTGCTTCTGAACAAGAAAACAGCCCACTCTTTTGAGCAAGTCCTCACTGATATCACAGAAGCCATCAAACTAGAGACTGGGGTTGTCAAAAAACTCTACACTCTGGATGGAAAACAGGTAGGTACCTTTTCAAAGTACTTTTCTCATTTTGTCTAAATTCTTAGATGTTCATCTTACACCTAAAATATCATTTCTTGTAGATGAACTCTTCCTCCACATCTCTTCATCACAACCTGATATTATATGTTTCATTTCGACTAAAGATATTTTCAACAGGCAAAACAATGAATCAGGAATCTGAGGCGCTGAAATTCAATCTGCTTCTGATTTACCATGCAGAATGGTCACTTAGCCTCAGCTTCCCTATCTGCTATGAAAGATGTATTAGAACCTAAGTTCTATGAACTCTTATGAATATGAATTTAGCCATTATACGATGCAACCTTTATTGTTCAATACATCTGACTGAAAATGATATTTGCCCATTCATTATTTCTTAGATACCCTCACATTGGTACTCAACAACTATTTTGATAAAAGGAAGTTGAAATGAACTTCATATGCTCTGAAAGAAGTCAGATATGGGGGAAGCACTGAAGTCTCTGGCTCGGTGTCTTTGCCTCACACTATACCATATTTGTTCTCTTTCTCTTTTCCATATGACATAGCTGTCTTAATTTGGTTCCACTGATGGTTTGTGTGAGAAAGGGACTATTTCAGGATCCTAAAATTAGCCCAAGAAAGATGTTGCCATCTGTTCCTCCTCCAAATCAGGTTCTTCATGTCATTGGTTATACTACTGAAGTGCCACCTATATTAATATCTGGGAAAGAATGCAGCCAGGCGTCTCCATCAGACAGATGCACTATTCTCTTGAGCATAGGGAGCTGTAAATATACAACAAAAATCTTCCAAGGGAATTGGAACAGTGGCTGGTTCTGTTGGCTCTAAAGAGGATCCTGGTCTCCCCTCAGAAAATACAAGTGTGGATTATTATCAGTTCATACATTCTACCTCTTAAAATGCCTTTGGCATTTTTTTTTTAATTTTTGTTTAAAAAAATTTTTTTTCTTTTTTTTAAAGACAGGGTTTCACCATGTTGGCCAGGCTGGTCTTGAACTCCCAACCTCAGGTGATCTGCCCACCTTGGCCTCCAAAGTGCTTGGATTACAGGCAGAGCCACCACACCCAGCCGCCTTTGGCATTTTAACAAACAACTATATAGATTCTAAAAAGGTGGATTCACTATGTATCAAAGTTACTGATGAGTGTTCAAATGCAGACTTGTGCCTCTTCCCATAATTTCTGATAATAATGTGTGCTCCAAGATTTTAAGTTTTAGGGAAACTCCACTTATGTACTGGGTACTTGGCAATTTTGATAAATTTGTAGCTTCTGTTTCCCATCATTTTGTCATCTGAGAGCTACCTAGACACATTGGTTATAACTGACTTGTGTTTGTTGTACCAAAGCAATGGTTTTGTCTGGGATGTTGGGAAAATCTGCAATCCCCAAGCATTTCTCTAAGAGTGTCTCTCTTCTAAGTAAGTACCATGTGTGTAATAAACAGGAGCTGTCTAAGTATAGGCCTAATTGCCAAAGCCTCATCTCAGAGAGATAGGACATAGAAATTTTAGAATCATTGGATCACAGAGTTGAGAATGACCTTAGAAGCCATGACATTTAATCTTCCCTAAGGCATGGATATCTTCTACAATCACTCTAAAAGACTATGAGACAGCAGCCTATTTCACTGTTCAACAGCTGTGATTTTTAGAGTTTCTTCATATTAGGCATAAATCTGATTCCCTATGCCTTCAGTCTGCTGAAGTAATACAGGAAAATGCAAATCAAAAACTTAAGACTGGGATTAAGAAGATTTGGACTCTAGTCTTGATATTGTCACTTACTATACGACTTCAGACTAATCAGTTAACTATACACTCCTCCTCTGTACAAAAGGACTGATCACATCTGCCCTGACTATGCTCCCGGGATTCTTATGAGGATCAAATCAAATAATGGATATGAAAGCACTCTGTAAACTAAAACATGGATATATATATATATGCACACACACACATAAAATTCATTAAATGAGATTTATGGCAGTTTTGCATATTAATAAATGTTAGCTCTCTTTCCCCTTAATTAATTAATTTATTTATTTTTGGAGATGAAGTGTCACTCTCTTGCCCGGGCTGGAGTGCAGTGGCGTAATTTGGCTCACTGCAACCTCTGCCTCCCAGGTTCAAGCAATTCTCCTGCTTCATTCTCCCGAATAGCTGGGGCTACAGATGCACGCCAACACACCCTGCTATTTTTTTTTTTATTTTAGTAGAGATGGGGTTTCACCGTGTTGTCCAGAGGTCAGACAATCCGCCCACCTCAACCTTCCAAAGTGCTAGGATTATAGGCATTAGCCACCATCCCCAGCCTCTTCTCTCTCCTTTACCTTGAACTCCTGAGGTCAAGCAATCCGCCCACCTCAACCTTCCAAAGTGCCAGGATTATAGGCATGAGCCACCATCCCCAGCCTCTTCTCTCTACTTTATCTCTATCATTTTTATTATAAATTTCCAACATTTGTGAATATATATCATACCTTTGCATTCTGTTTTTGCTCCAAATAATATATAAAGGGAGACCTCCATCTCTTAGGGAAGCAAGCACCAGTCCAGTGATGAATAGGTTTTTCATCTACAGCAGGCCATGTAGAGTGGCAAGCTCTCTCAAACTTCTTTAAGTATCAGTTCCCTTTTTTGGGGGAACACATTACAAAATACCAGTATATGATATGACATGTATATACAGAAATGGATTGGTGCCCAGTGGATCTGAACAATGCCCTTTCAGGCATTTGTACCTCTGTATATACATTCCCTCTCTTTAAAACATCTTCCTCTGCCCACCTTGACCCTTGAAGGTCATCTTCTAAGACCTGGTTCAAATATCACTTTATCTTTGAATATTTCTGTCTTCACTAAGGAGGGTAAAAGCAATCATAACCTTTTGTTTTTTTTTTAAATAATGCTCAGCTCCTGGCATATAGTGGATGCTCTATAAATGTTTGTTGATTGAATGAACTGACAAACAGATTCTCACATGGCCTGGGTAGATGTTTTGAGAAGCCTTCTTTCAATTCCCCATATGTTATCCTTACATCTTTCAGAAGAAATAGGGGGCTTCCAAAGGAGTGAATATTCCACCCAGGTAGTTTCTTTCTGGTGCTTTACTTGGAAGTCACTGAGGGCAGACCTATAAAGCAACATTCCCCTAAATACCTTTTAAGGAGAAATGTCTCTGTGTCCCCACCCTGAAAAGCTCTCCAAAAAGAATTCTGTGGGGAAATAAGGTTGTAAAATGATACAAATTGTTTGCCATTCTTAGAGATTCACAGTGCTCATTGGCACACTGAATGTTCTGAGAAGCCCTACAGCAATAAAATCCATCCTAATCCTACTTAACCAAAAATATTTTTAATGAAATACACACAAACACATACCCACACATACATATATATGTGTATATATACACACATACATACACACATTTATATGTATATATACCCATATACATACACACATAGAGAGTGCACTAGAAAATGTTGTTTACATAAAACACTGATAATTAGGAACTAACTACCGTAACTTTAATGGTAAGATTCGTATGCACAGACTAACCGCAAATTAAACATTGTTGTTTTGTTACAGCAAGGGCATTAAATAAAATTTTGGGGTATGTGGACAAACCTAATTACAAAATAGATGTTGGGTATACTGAAAGTTGGTGCCACACTCAAAATTTTGGAGCTCAGCTTGTTTCCCAGGTCTAGTGATGACAGCTCTAATGTTAACACCTGTCAATCACTTTGATTATTAGTGGGTATTCGTACTGCTTGCAAATATGATCTTCCTCGTGGAGGCTGAAGTCACATATATTGCAATAGCTTGACTTGGTTGGATAAGATTCTAATGCCTGTCTTTGGCTACATGTGATATAAGGCACTTAGTTGAAAAGAGCAAAGTATGGTCAAGGCTGTTTGTTATAGAATGTTTTATTCATGAAATCAAGGCCATTGCTTGATTTCAGTGTACACTATAACTGGATTCTATATCGACCGAACCAAGTGGTTTTCCCTCTTCAAATGAGTAATGATCAGCTAAAAGAGCCCAGTTGATTGTTGCAAATTTATTGTTGCTTCTGTAATTGTGTGTACCATTTGAGTGATGGGCTTACACTGATTGACAAGCAATCTGCAGACATGCCTCATTTCTTTCTCTCTGTTTCTGTTTTGTTTGGATGTATCTTTTGGAGTCCTTGATCTTTTTACAGCTTATATTTGATGTTATAGAAGATTGGTTTCCTGACCTCTTGCCTCTGAGATATTTTTGGTCTATGTAGACAGGAAAGCCAACCAGCACTAGTAGGAAGACACCCCAATTGATTCCTCACCTCAATAAGAAGTTGTTAATGGTATAAGAAGTGGTTGGTAGGGCTCTGGCTACTCTCAGGGATTAAAATGGATTTCTAGGAGGTTAAAGAGGACATGATAGAGGATTAGATGGTGATGCATATCAGTTCACTTGCAGGTGAAAATTGTTCTTTTGGTTCCTTGGCAGCTGGAGTGATTGTGGAGTGTTGACAAAATTATCCAATTATTAATTTCCATAACTAAAGTACACATTGACCTTCATGCATAAAAGTCATGGATGCATAAAACTGGGACCCAAATTTCTGGTTCACATGATAGCAGTAGTTTAATAGATACATGTTCTGGCCTTAAACTAATTTGAGAGCTTTAACAATAGACTTCCAGCTTTTTGGCATCATACATGGGGGTGCAGCTGGTCTTCACACTATCCGTTTTTATGCTACACTGACTGACATCTCTAGATTCAGTTTTGTCCACACCCAGAATTTGTGCAAGAAAAGATTCCCTATTGCCTCAATATACATGCCTAAGGCATAAGTATGGCCTTCACTGCTTGTTCTAGCTTTGTTAGGCCAGTTTTCAATTGGATGGGTTTATTTTACATTTTTGTCTGTGCCTTTATAGAACCAACTACTTGGACCAGGGATTCTAGGTCTCAGAATAACAGAGGAGAAGTTTAAGC